AAAATCATCTGCTATTCAATCATGGATACAATAAATATTAGCATGTGGCCAAGGCAACTTAATATCTATGAAACAGACAGTTAGCTTTAAAGAATATATACGACAAACGTTTTGTGTAATAGATCTTTAATTGGTATCATATTGCATTTATAAATGAATATATATTCAGTTAATCTCAAAATATAAGAGTGTTAGCATTATCCATCAGACAAAACACGCATTCATAAAATCAGTTTTTTAACACTTTAACAATCTCTTAAGAAGAATCAAATTAAGTAAACATAATACTTTATCCCGGCTCCAGAAATAACCTCAACTAACTGCCCCCAGGATTTCTCAATGATCTCAAAATCATTTAGTAGCATAATTTTGATAGATTTGCCTATATTTTGAATTTTGGATCCCAATTTTCTTCTCAAAGGAGGCCCCAAATTTAATTATGCAATTTTGAATCCCCTTGGCCAAAGGATGCTATAAACCAATTTAGAAAAAAAAATTGCCGTCAATATCAAGGAGATGGATTTAAAGACTTGATTCCCATATAAGGCACTGCCCATTTATCCCCAAAGGGACCAGATCCTTTATTGATACAACGTTTAGTGTATCCTTGTATGTTCACAACTAAATTCGGTCAAAATCTATGGAGCCATTCTGGACTAGTATGCTTATTAGTGAATAGTCGACAGCTGAACAACTGACGACACACTACAGTGAAAGCTGACATGTACACAAAATGTAATGCTAAAGTAGTAAAACCTGGTCTACACATATACACGTAAATGCATGCTTAATATACCATGACAAAAGTAACAATTGATCGCATGATATGATAAATCAATGAATTAATGTCATGTTTAGGTTGTCGAAACGGAGCATTACCACGCGGAGCACACTAGTAAACAGTCTATATCCCAGGGTCCCAAACTCTTGTTAAACCAGATAAATGTGCTCGGTAAAACACATAGTCCACTGGCTATCGTTGACACAACGAATAGTGTATTTGCATTTCTCAAAAAAATTGATTTGGGTTCGATTTCCCGAAGAAGTGATAAGGTGTGGGGTCATCTCAAATACTGTGTGTGTATACTTCAGTTTCAACCCGTATTTGGACGTACTAAATGATAAATCCGTGTTAACAAGGGCAATAAGATAATCAAAATGTGTTTCATATTTTTTAAATATTTTATTTGGTACAGCAATACCTTCTCATGTCAGCTCTCTTCATATTGTTAGAGTATAACTGCTGCTACGAAGTAAATGAATACAAAGCCAGAGCAAATGTGTAACTACGCATTTGAAAAATATTTCTTCAATAAAACATTATTTCAAACGTTCTTAAACACGAGTTCAATCGACGCTAATTTATATCATTATTCCACTCATTTCATATTTTATTTCTATTCTAAAATTCAAAATAAATATATCTGATGTTACAGGTTTGTTTTATAGTTTTTTACCTTTGGTGTTTTGTTTCCCTTGATGCCTATCTTCGGGTGAAAAACTGCAAAAAAAGGAACACAGGAAAAAAATTATGCAAAATAAAAAAAATCATTTAGAGAAATAATCTAACAGTCAGAATTAAAAGTGCATTGGGGGTTAGAGGTGGGAGGTCGTCGGGAGTAGGAACGGGCTTGCGGAAGGTTGCCTGACTATAGCGTGATCGCATTTCTCATCTGAGCCGGGAATGATTGCGTGTTTGTAGACGACAATTTGACTTCACATGTGTGAACGCAATTAGGGCATATAATCTGGCGAAATTAGTTTATAAAAGGGTTACTGTTAAGGACTCGCACAACTAAACCATCCAATCAGCAAGTATTTCGTACGATTGTTATCCCTACCTACAATTTGTTCCGGTTTATTACAGTGCCTCTGAGTAATTTAAATAGGTAATTGTTGACAAACTTTACAATGAATGTGCTGGATCGCCAGCCCTAATTATGTTGTGCTACCTAAAGTTATCTCCCTTTACTCCACTCTTCGTACTTCAAAGAGAAAAATACCGCCTGTTTTCATGGAAGTTGGCTTCTGTGAAATTTGTAAGATTGTTTGATATTAGAACCAATTTTACTATATCTGTCGCTATATAGATGTCCCCTGAAATGAATCAATCTATGTTCAAAATGTGGCATTCCTGAGTTTTGTCGTAATATATCGGTGGAACGGGTAAATCAGAAAATGACTTTGCCCCAACTTCCTGTCATGCAACACGTGTCTCGCTATTGTATTTGTTTAGTATGTTAGTGAACTACGACTGAACAATGATTGTATATGTAGCAAATATGAAAGCTTGTGTGTTACTTAATATGCATTTCAAGTCATCGGTATTAAAGTAAGCACACTAGTCAGTCTTATAATGTACGTGCCTGGGATGAAGTTGTCAGTAATAAAGTAACTGATTATGAAAGTGCCTGTTATGTAGTTGTCCATTTTTATAACAGGCTGTCATATGTCTTATAGCTGTGGTCAGCTTACTGCTTGCTAATGCCCATTTATCGCATCATAGAGTAAGATTATTGTATACTATTGATTCAAATAATGTGATCACTACGATTAAGCCACCAAAAGGCATACACTAGCGGACACAATACGTAGCGCGTATTTAGTGATCGTTGAGTCTTCCTTACGGTATGGTACTTCTTAGCTTCAGTGCGGAATGTGACCCACGAATCAATTTGTATTTCATTGTTGTAAAAGTATATATATTTGCAGTTACACGTTGTTAGAGTTTATGAGCCTGATATGACGTATAGGTCAACTTTGTGGATAGATATAGTTATGATTTAATTCGGAATTGAGATAGTTATGATATATTGCTAGGGAGGTAGTTAGCGATAAATTTGCGAAGAAACGTTTCCGCAGCTAGTTTTCATGTACGAACACGATCCTGAAAATGCGAACGGCCTATTAACGGGAAAACAACATGTAGCAGACAGCTACCGAACCCGTCAGCGTTGTGATAGAATACAGCTTATATCAAACTTAAGCGATAAGACGAAAATAGGTATAAAAACATTGAACCTAAATATATGTTTGAACGGGCTCTTGGTAAGGTTACTGCACGCATTTGGACGCATGCACCAAGCTTAACTGCTGGTCACATGAATGAAGGGGCCTATACCTTGCAGGATCATTACGGGGTCAGACTCAAGGAGTTCTTGGGAAATCGACCAGATATCATTATGATGTGCTATTGCGCTCGTTATAGATAATGAAGCTCATCTTACATATGGTCAAGATACAATGTATGATAAAATGTACAATATTTTACAGCTAAGATCATTGTTCCTCTAGCAGAGAGAAGAAAAAAGCTAGAAGGATTACATGATAATCGGTCCAGGGCACATCTTGGCTTTAGCAAGACTCTTGCAAAAGTACGACAGAGATAATTTTGGCCAGGATGTACAGAGGTATGTCGCTGGATATACGACGTGTACCAAGCGAAAGAATCCTTCCAAGACCAAAACAGTTCCAACGCAAGTTGTACACTCTGATATTTCAATTATTATTCGATATTATGACAGATTTACCAGAAACTGATGATGGTAATAGGTACTTTCTCGTCATATCCGACTATCTCAGCAAATGGACAGAAGCGTTGCCTATGGCAGCCCAAAGTGGACAGTTTCCTGACTCCCTTTCCGAAGGTAGCACACCACTAATGCGGTAGGGTCGTTACATATTATATAGGATTGTTCATACACATCGCCTCTACCTCTAATATGTAATATGGTGTATCCATCGTTACCTCAGCAATCTTAAACTTTCGCACCATTCCGTCAATCAACACACATGGGTGTTCCTTTGAGGTAAGTTGGTCAGACCGGACTAAATCTTCTTTAACCTCGGCGCTGCTGCATCCGATATCTTTTCAACTGTCATCGACTAGTTCTATACGTCCCAATGTCTTTTCAATTATCTCTCTGTCTGTCTTCACCATACCATCCCTCATCTTGCTATCCTCCACCACAACTTTTTTTCTTATCTTCTCAACAGTCTTACAATGGTTACCAATCGTCTTTTCTACATTCTTTCATGCTGCCGCTTTCTTATTCTTATCATCATTCTGGTTCCATTTTTTCTTCACATCAAACTGCTTGTTATCTCCATTCTTCAAGCTCCTCTCTGTATCCGTGTAGGCTACCATACCAGCAACTTTCTCATCAGGTAAATGGTCTCGTGCCAAGTGACCTTCTCCATTACAGACAAAAGAGCGCCTAGTTGTCTTCACGCTACCTTTGGTACTGTCATCAGTTTGTCTCTGTTTCCCTTGGTATTGAGTTTTGTTATGGCTTGGTGTAGCCTTGTTGTGACGCGAGGTCTTAGTATGCTTCATGATACCATATATGGACATCCATATACTGCTCTGCCAAGCGTGTCATTTTCTTCACATTCTTGGCTACTCTTTCCTTCAGAAATACTGCCATCTCTGCTGAACATGTCTGAATAAACTGTTCCCTGATGAGTAAATCCTGTAAAGCCTCATAATCTCTGCTAACTCTGTCCATCTTTCTTAAATATCTTGTAAGTCTGGCTATAAGCTGAAAAGCTGTCTCTCCTTTTCCAGGCTTACCATCTCTGAATTTCAGTCTAAAACATTCTTCTGTGAGTTCGTAGCGCCTGAGTAATGCTTTCTTCAGTTCTCCATAGTTATCAATATGGGTGGGTGGCATGCTCGTATACACTTTTAAACTTTTTCCTACAAGTAGGGGGATGAAAATCACTGCCCAGTTGTCATCTGGTCACCTCTGTGATGTTGCAAATTTCTCAAATCTTTCCAGAAATGCATCAATATCTTTCTGATCATCAAACTTGGGTATTTGTGTCCTCAGTGACTTAGATCTGGAGTCTTCAGTGTGTGTTCTGGTCAGCTCTAGCCGTTCTTGCTCTGCCTTAAGTTTTGCAAACTCCACATCTGCCTGTAGCTTTAATTTCTCCTTCTCAAACTGTCATGTAAAATCTGTTTCTCTGCGTGTAGCTTCATCCCTTGCCTCTGATCGATATGTATGCCAGTACAGTATGCACACTTCCTGGTGTATCATAACCAACCTGCCTGGTTATATACTAGCATACAATTTGTAATATGCTGAAATGTAGCACTCTAATTACTCAATAGTAAAAGTACTAGCAAACTACATACCGCCTATTCTCCATAATAGGTCAACAATGACTTTTGGTACAGTATTACAGGCTTAACACCAAAAAATATCACTCAGTATTCTGTATTACACCACAGTAACTCTATGTGACAACTGATCTATCCTAAATACTCAATTTCAGAAAACTGTTTCACAACAATTTACGAATTTAGCTTGTGAGAATCTAAAATACTTATATATAGTGCCCGATCTTTTCTGAAGCACAGAAAAGCAGCCTATACATAGTATTTTTTCCAAAATGTATCCCGAAATACAGTATGAAGTTGAATGTAACAACCAAACTAACTTGTCGTACAGAATAAGTCTATATTCTAGTATAGCACTCGACCTTCTCCTTTATTCACATATATGGAATAACAATGACTGTGAATTAAAGACCCGACCTACTCTGATACACAATATGTAATGGTTGTACTCTACGACATCCTAATACACTGCCTTCATGATATGATGATTGTGATCCTAACACTAGCACATCTACACAGCATATCAATTTCTGTTTGTAACAATTAACTTATTGTTTACTTTTATCAAATGCACTGTTTCAACACACAGTACTAACAACCAATGTAATATCCACAAATTTAGAGTTTACCACCTGAAATATGGTCAAAATTTTTATAAACAACACACATATATCCCGGACGAGCCCCCAATTTGTCAAGTGACGAATTTTGATTTATTTGTTTTCGGGATCTTTTCTTTGACTTTGGTAGCAGTGCTTTCGCTAAATTTGTGGGGAAATCACAGAGGCATTCACGTTGATTAATAACAAGTTTATATAATCAACAACATAATTAGTACAACATAAACTTAACAATACAAGACGTGTGTGTGTGGCGCAAATGAAAACGTCGCCCACAAATGTCATAACGACCCACGGGGGTCCAACGAGTCGCGCAATCACAGGTATACGTATCATACATAACACACATGTCCTTTGACGTGTTCAACGCAATGGGTATACTTAGCCCACTTCTGACTTACGTTCCCGCATCCTTCGAAATCGGGAGTTCACCATGTTTACTGTTTTCTTCGCCGTCTTCCCCCTCTCTACCCGACCCAAGGCCAAGCTAAGTTCCTTTCTTATCTCCCACTGAATCTTCTGAATGTGGCACATTGCACCTCTGTAATCTCATTTGATGCAGGGTTTCGTATTTTTCTGCGCATGCTCGGAAAAAACTTTAACTTCCTATCGCGGTTAAGTCAACACGGTGCAGTATGGTCTTATTTTTCTCTTGTATTTTATTCATTTTACACTAATTGTGTAGGGTTATATTGTATCAGCGACGTGCATAAAGGGTATTGGCAAGTACATATATCTCTATTTTGCGATGTCATG